CTTTATCAATCTTTCCACTCTTTCCTTAGAAATGTGACCAAGTCGTTTATGCCACAATGCATAAGACTGTTCCTTAGGTAGAGGTCTTTTGGAAACAACCCTTTCAGCTGTATAAGCGACGTATATATCATTGGGAGATAAACACAATCTATACAATCCATTCGATATGTTGCAGCACCCAACCTTATTTGAATCAAAGAACATTGAAACATTATTCTTAATTTCAAAAGAATAGACACAAACATCCAAACTTGATACGAAAACTAAGTTCCGTCTGAAGGAAGGCACATAAAAGGTGTTTCTTAACATCATATTAAAACCAGAATCCAAAATTAATATGACATCTCCCACGAACTCGACGTCGACTCTCTTGTTGTTTCCTATAGTGAGCTTTAATTCATCCTGATTTGGCTTCCTTCTGTTTGTGAATCCCTGTATGGTATATGCAACATGATTAGTTGCACTGCTATCTAGCCACCAAGAACTGGATGGAACTTCTAATAGGTTGGATTCACAAACAAGTGCCAAAGAATTAATACCTGACTGCTCACGCTTGGACAACCAAGCTTTATATCTGTTGCAGTCTTTCTTCATGTGACCCTTCCTCCTACAAAAGTAGCAGTGAACACCATTCTTCTTCAAGGGTGTTTTCTCAGGACCCAGATGGTCTAAATGACTGGTGGTTTCAGGAGTTCCTTTCTGAGTAAGATTCTTGAACTTACTACTCTTCCTACTACTGGAACTAGAGGCATAGAAAGCAAGATTCCCTTTATCTTTCTTTAGTTTCTCTTCTTCTGCCACAACCCTAACTATCAGGTCATTGACTGACCACTTTTCATCTTGGGAATTATAGTTGGTCTTTATAATTCCAAACTCAGTAGAAAGGGTGTTCAGGGCTTGATGCACAATGAAGGCATCAGAAAGAATAATCTCATGAACTTTTAGTTTTGTATGGAGGTCTACCATCCTAAGGACGTAATCCCTAACCCCACTTGAACCATCATACCTCATATTATTGAGTAACTGCATGTATGTCCCAGCCTCAGCATTAGACGAGTCACGGTTCCTTGCTTACAAGGTTTCCATCATTTCTGTAGCAGTGCAGTCAGCTGGTAAACTAGTCTTCAAGTGGTCCTTAATGGATCGCTTCATCAGTAACAAATAAATCCTATTGCTCTTTGCCCAAGCGGCACTCTGTGCCTTTTCCATATCCGTACTATCAGCAGTGACATCTGCTGGCTTATCCTCAGTAAGAGCAATATGAATATCTGCCAGCTCCATACCAAACAGAAAATCCTCTTTCCATTTCTTAAAGTTTGAACCAGTAAGAACCTTAATACTTATGGAGTTGCCGTTCAGTGAGAAGGCGACTGTTAAAAACAAGCAATATCTATAATTAGCATCATGTGAGTACTTTCCTGAGAGTTACACACATCATCATATAATCACCTTTGGGCAGAATACATGATATGCAATTGTATACCCTCTACATTACAACTGCCATGAGAATATATTCCAATCTTTTATGAATTCACCACCTTTGAGCGTATAAACCACTAGGATCAGTCATTTCTCACGCATGCTGTATATGCATCCCTCCATGAACCAATACATAATCACCTCCTTTGGGAGTATAATAACACATTAGAACAGGAGACATCCTAACAATACGAGACTGATATTTCTCAAACTCAATCAAGTGTGCCACTTTGGCGGTTACTACCAAATTGAATCATTGAAACTCTCTCATACTAAGGATATAAACTTTATGTCTCACATATACTATATAGATGTAATTCTAGACTGGAATACATGGGCAATATCTCTAAAATTACATATCATGCTAATTACATTGCTTTATACATTGATATATGTCGAACCTTATACATTCTATCAATGAAACATGATCTACACGTCCTTATGTCATCATATATATGTAAGATTTAATATGTACCTCTTAAACCATAGAGAAATACAAGAAAATACGAAAATATACCCTAAAAATACGCGTATATAGGGTTCCGTATGTATTTTCACATCCTTAAAAGTATCAAACATGTAAAATAAATATACCAAAGTGTAGAGAATCTTTATACGAGCACGCCGGTACCTTGCACGCCCCAATCGGAGCTCGGACGCACCCTCACGCGCCTCCTGAAGGTACGGCGCATGGGCCTCACGCGCCGGCGCCTAAGCCGGCCAAAAAGGCCGGTCCGACCGGTCTGACCGCCGACCCGTCTGACTGCTTACCAGTTCGATCGGTCTGACCGCCGACCGGTCTGACCGCTTATCGGTCCGACCGGTTGACTGGTTCGGTCAACGAGTCGGGTCCGGGTCGGGTCAATCCCCGGGTCGGGTCAACGGGTTGGATCTGGGTCGGGTCCGGAGTCGGGTCGGGTCAGCCGGATCGACCCGGCTTGCGGAAACCCTAGCGCGTGCGTTGCACGCGCCTGGGAACACCCGCGCGTGGCTGCGCGTGTACCGCCGGGGCTCTCCGACGCCCCTGCGCGTGGCGGCGCGTGCGGTCGTTTCCGGCGGCCCCTGGTGGCCGGCGACCACTCATTTTTCTCGTCTCGCGACGATCTATCCATCTATGTGATTTATTCTAACATTCAACGGATCAAAAAATCAAAATCACATACGAACAGTACCGACTCGTTTCTCGACTATGGCGGCTCTAATACCACATGTTGGCCGGCCCGTATGGCTCGGCCAAGCGCTCTAGGATCACCATAGCGAGATATTAACGGTACGGTAAAAGGATGGATAGAATTTGTGCACCTGATTTGGATTCCATCGGCCTGGATGCGGAAATGATGATGAACCAGTGCCGTAGGTCTTCTCCCCTGTCACCCCCGAAGTCTCGGCGCTATGAGACCGCCTCAGCCAACTCACGGAAGCCTTAGGTGAGTTTGAGACCGTTTGAGAGAGATTGGAGAGAGTTAGGTGCAGAGGAGGGACCTGCAGCTCTATTTATAGAGTTTCCAGCCAGGCCCTCTCATAACGGGCAGGGCCGAACTCGGCCCACACAAGTCGGGCCCATATTTTACCAATTAAGAAACCTTATATCCAAACTTATTAGACCAGACCCGTAAGCAGGTAATAACAATATCAATTAATGTAACCCACATTAGGAAAACGTTACAGCGGGGGCTTCGCGAACAATTCAAACATGGATAGTAGAAAGTCCCAATCTATGATGCGCGCTCAGGCTTGCGCACCATCAATTATTAGCGAGAGAGAGAGAGAGAGAGAGAGAGAGAGAGAGAGAGAGAGAGAGAGAGAGAGAGAGAGAGAGAGAGAGAGAGAGAGAGAGAGAGAGAGAGAGAGAGAGAGAGAGAGAGAGAGCAGCTTTGTTCCAATTTCGCGTTCCTTTTTGTTTTGGGCCCGTTCTCATATTATTAGTAGCGTGATCAGCAAAGAAAGAACATATCGTTACTTAAAATTGCTAAAAAGCTCGCCACAAAACTTTTTACCTATTAGTGGCGATGGTTATGATCTCCGATCTCTTAGGATTAGTGACGAGAATAAAAAACCGGCACAAAGAAATATCACTAATTCTATGATTTCTCGTGGAGACCCTAAAAGCAAAACAATGTGCACTTGCATGTGTAAGCTTTTCATGACACAATGTGATATTCAATGATGGTTTTTTCCATGAAAAGCGGTGGAAGTTCCGAAGGTTCTCCCGCCGATGCAAATTGCAATGGCTATGACGAATGCTAAGTGTTTTGTGGTTTTGTTTCTCCCAAGAGAGTATAGCTTAGCTCACTGCTTTCACCGGGAACAGCTAAACATTCCTTTCGTGAGAGGATACGTAGTTGAAGAGCAACAGAAGAGCCACGATAAGGAGCTAGATGCTCTAGAGCTTTCCTTTCCGTAATAGGGTTGATACCACGAAAAATCCCAAACTGATATATCTGTGATAAATTTATCTCAAATTAATTTTTTGACCGCCAAAGATTCTAAATTGGTACACCTGTGATAAATTTACCAAAATTAATATTTTGATCGCCAAAAATCCAAAACCGGTACACATTATTTACCCTTTATTAAATTGGATTAATATCTCTAACAAAAAAAATTGGATTAATATCATGAAAATTCACAAACCGGTAAATCGGTGACAAACAGAGGGGTAAAATCCAAACTGGTACATTCGTCAACTGCCGCGTGTCATCCATCTCAGTAATTTGATGGTAAAATTTAACGAAAACTAACGGATGATAAAATTGTTATAGGCGTACTAAATTGAGGTTTTAGTTTGTGGTAAATTTATCATAAATATATTAATTTAGAATTTTTTATGGTATTAACCCTTTTTAGTACGTTCGACGATTATTACACATCCCCTTGTGACTGTTAACGTTTGGACTCACTGAGTAGGAGAAGGCATGGATGCGTCCAGTTGGAAAGCAACGAAGACTTTTGGAAACTAGGATTCCTCGTGTCTCTTCCTCATCTCTCTCTGTACTAAAGAATGATGTTTACTTAATCCACGACGAATCCAAAAAAAATGGGAGAAAGAGAACTCACACACGGAGAGCAAGCAAGAGCAAGGCGTCCCACAACCAGCTCATCGCCCCTCAGCCCCTCCACAACAATCAGCTTTCTCTCTCTTCCATCGGCATCTTTGAGTTATAACTCCGCCACCACCATAATTATGAGATTTTGTGAATATTACTGCTAACTAATTTAAAAATTTTAAATAAAATCGTAATTTAATATTTAATTATTCTAACACTATTACTCATATTTAGTCTGATTTTTTTACCTCATATCAATAGTGGAAATATGCAATTAAGGAGGCAAATAAAAGTTTGGAAATATTTAAACTTATAACCTCCTGCTTTGACACGACGTGGAGTTTTATGGAACGTCCGGCGACTATTCTGAAAGTATAAGTTATTAAGTGAACGCGTGATTTAATTTAATGACTTTTCCTCTTAACCCATTACGCATTCCACAATAAATATCTCTCTGTATCTCTGTCTCTGTCTGTGTCTCTCCCTGACACTGACACACTATGAGAGGGCTTACTGACGAGGAAGAGGAAGCAATAGCAGACAGACCCAGATGGATTTCAGCTCGTTCCTGACGTCGCTGATCACGTCCTTCGTGATCTTCGTCGTCCTGATGGCCCTCTTCACGTGGCTCTCCGGCAGGCCCGGGAACAAGGTGATCTACTACTCCAACCGCCTCCTCAAGGGCATGGACCCCTCCGACGGCGGCTCCTACGCCTCCTGCAGCCCCTTCGTCTGGATCCGCGAGGCCCTCTCCTCCTCCGAGCAGGACGTTATCAAAATGTCCGGCGTCGACACCGCCGTCTACTTCGTCTTCCTCAGCACCGGTCCGTGCCTTTCTGTTTCTTTCTTGCTTTGTGTGGGCGCATGTAATGTGATGGCATTCTCAGTTACACAAAAGTTCCATATACAAGCAGGCAATCTGATTATATCTGTCGTCAGCTATTAATAATTACAGATTGAAAATCTCGATACAATGAGGTGGGACTTCGAAGGAAGTCTAAATTTGCCATTCTTTTCTGTTTTCTTTTGCTTCTCGATTGCGTATTCTCTACAGTCACTTGATTTATGGCATACGTATTGGTATCAAGCTCCCCTGGATGGTTAGAACTATGTTTTGCATGTTTGAGAATCCATACTTGTGAAAGCATTCGCTTTAGTTTTTCCTGTGTTGTTATCGATATGAACACTTGTGCTTGTATATTTAAAACACTCCTCCATCCGTGGAAGTGACAAACTCTGAAGACTTTTCCTCCTTTTACTCTGTGACAGTGTTGGGAATATTAGCTTTATCCGGCATTGTGCTGCTACCGGTTCTTCTACCTGTTGCTGCCACTGACGATACTCCAAACAAATCTTTAAACACAACCAGCAATGGGACATTCAGTGATCTTGACAAGTTTTCAATGGGATATGTGCCAGTAAGTTTTAGAACTCTTGTACAAGGATTTTCCTTTTTCTTGTCTTGTCAAGGTTAAGAGAGAAATGTAGCATTTCTTATTTTAACCATAATTCTAGGACATTGATTGAAGTAGTTTTTGGAAATGGGGTTTCCACTCTTATTAATTTCTCGTCAGATTGTACTTGGTGGAGTAGGAATTGGTGGAAAATGTTGTTGTGTAGAGAAAATCAGTGCTAAATTTCTAAGTCGCATCCTTCTGTATGTACAGGAGAAAAGCTTTAGGTTGTGGGCATTCCTGATAGCTACTTACTGGGTCTCAATCGTTGCATACTACCTGTTATGGAAGGCATACAAACACATTGCTGCGTTGAGAGCAGCTGCTTTAATGTCTCCCGAAGTGAGAGCAGAGCAATTTGTTGTCCTTGTGAGAGACATACCTCCTGCCCCAGAAGGTCAAACTAGAAAGGAACAAGTTGATTCATATTTCAAGTCTATTTATCCCGATACATTTTACAGGTCGTTGATAGTGACTAATAATAAAGAGGTATGCTTTTATAATGTTTCTTTTTGGAATATACAATTTGTTCCTCAGTTGTTGCTATGCTAAGTGTTGCTATAAGTTCTGCAAACTTTGTACATTTTATAACTATATCTACATGTATATGAGTAGATACTGCAACTATTTTAAATATCTGGTTGATGCCTAGGATGCACAGAGGTGAAAGGATATCATAAAAAACGGCGTGGTTCTTGATGGTTGGTCCTTCAATGATTTCTCCACTACAGTGGCTGCGTAGCTTATGTTATTTATGATGGTACTGGTTAGGAACTGCTGATCTGGCTCTGGACCATTTTCATAATTGATTTATTTGTGGAGCATTATGAATTATTGTGGGGCTGGATGAAGTAATGAACCGTGTTGTTATGTAGAGGTTCTTGTGAGATTTTGTGGGACCACTGCTAACTGTTCTAAAAGTTTAAGCTGTTAGATGAAAGCGTGGTTTAATATGTAAACATTGTATCGATCCCCCTCACGCTTAGTCTATTCTTTTTTGTCTAATACTAAGCGTGGAAATATTTCATTGGGGAGGCAAATAGGGGCCTGCAAAGATTCGAACATAGAACCCCCAGCTCTAATACCACGTGTTGTGGGACTACTGTCAACTGTTCTAAAAGTTTAAGCTGTTAGAAAAGATGTAGTTTAATATTTAAAAATTCTATCAATTCTCAAGGAAAGACCCAAGTAAAAGGGAGATACAAGTTTGTCGGTCAGTTTCAAGTGAGTAGTGTGATACGGAGTCACAAAACAAGGAAGTGCATTATGTGGTTAGTCATACGGCAGAAGTAGCTGCACTGCTATTAATGAACCAAAATAAGAGATCGTCATAGACAGACAGGCCCACTTAACACAAATAGTTGAGGTAATGACTTCATTATATATGTATCGAAAACAATCATGGTTGACCCTTACCACTATACAGTTGCTCTCTTGGCAATGGACTCTGCAAATCCAGCATACGGCCCGGGAAGGGAACAGTTGTGCCGACTGGTTAGCCAACAATACTTTTGATCAGGCCCATAGTTTTGAGTTTTAATTCTAGGCCCCCTCCCAGACTGGATTTATTAGAGGAGAATATGTGTGTTTTTTAGTACGAAGAGAGCTGTTTTGAATGCAGTATTCAGTATGCTGTAGTTTACTCCCCTGTTCACCTAAAACAAAAAGCATTCATGGTTTATGAACTTCTTTACTGTGCCACCACAGCAACCCCGTATTGTTCATAGAGGCATTATCTCATGCATGCCCAGAAATACTCGGAGGGATAAAGATATGTTGTAAACTTGAAGTTCCTCGAATGAAAATTTTGGTTATATATCGTGACAGAGAATGTAGTCATAGTAGAAGAACTTGCTCTTTTTTCTTTTGATTTCCATCCATTGAGAGACCTTTCCTTATTTTATGTTATCATGTAGGTTAACAAAATCTACAAAGAGTTGGAAGGGTGCAAGAAAAAGCTTGTACGCACTGAAACAATATATGCAGAATCGAAGACAACGGGCAAACCAGAAGGAACAAGGCCCACAAAGAAAACCAGCTTCCTAGGTCTTATTGGGAAAAAGTTGGACAGTATAGAGTACTACAGTGAGAAGATCAGTGAACTGACTCCAAAGCTTGAAGCTGAACAGAAAGCCACCTTGAGAGATAAGCAGCAAGCAGCGGCTCTGGTCTTCTTTACTAGCAGGGTGACCGCAGCCTCTGCAGCACAGAGCCTGCATGCCACAAAGCTTGACACATGGAATGTGATGGATGCACCCAGACCTCATCAAGTCATATGGACTAATCTTACGATTAAGTTATTCGAGCGACAAATACGGCAGTACATTATCTATGTTATAGTGGCTCTGACCATTTTCTTCTGCACGATTCCCATCACGTTTGTTTCCGCCTTTATGACTCTGGAAAATCTGAAGATATATCTTCCATTTTTAAAGCCGATTGTGAATAATGCAGCGATCAGAACTGTGTTGGAAGCTTATCTCCCTCAGATTGCGCTCATCGTATTTCTGGCTTTGTTGCCCAAGTTGCTGTTGTTTCTGTCAAAGCTAGAGGGGATTCCTTCCCAGAGCCATATAGAACGTGCTGCCTCTGGAAAATACTTCTACTTCACGGTCTTGAATGTGTTTATTGGCGTTACTGTGGGTGGAACCTTGTTTGCTACATTCAAGACTATTGAGAAAAATCCCAACTCTCTCCTCACAGTACTGGCGGCCAGTCTTCCTGTAAATGCAACATTTTTCCTCACTTATGTTGCTCTGAGGTAAGATATTTTTGTTCCTCCTCAGTCCTCTATTAACTTCTAACTTGCTGAGTGACAGATTTTGATTCTTTCTTGATGCGAAAGGGAACAAAAAGAAAAAGAAAAACAAATAGAGTTGGATTTGCTTCTCTACTTATTAGGGCAGTTTGTTATTCTCATAATTTGTAATTTCTATGTTCCTTTAAATGGATTCCGGTTTCATGTGGCCATCATTTTATCAATGGTATGGTTACGTTTTACATCATAGTTCTTGCATGGACTTTTTCCTCTTCCTTCTTGGCATAGTGATGGTGCTAATGTCTGAATTTGGGGAAATGGCCATCAGGACCTTTGTTGCCTACGGTCTCGAGCTTTCTCAGATTGTTCCTCTTATTATTTTTCACTTGAAGAAGAAGTACCTCTGCAAGACTGAAGCTGAAATCAAAGAAGCATGGTATCCCGGAGATCTTGGATACGCGACTAGAGTTCCCGGTGACATGCTGATCATCACGATTACCCTCTGCTATTCTGTCATTGCTCCTCTGATCATCCCTTTTGGTGTTGTATACTTTGGCTTAGGATGGCTTATTCTTCGAAATCAGGTTGAGTACAAGTTTTGGGGGCTAACTCCACGTTGTACTTAGTTTTGAGTCAAACTTTTGCACTTCTTTGCCTATTCTAGAGCATTCCTTAACTTTCATATGATTGTTTTGATCGACAGGCACTCAAGGTTTACGTTCCATCCTATGAGAGTTATGGAAGAATGTGGCCGCACATGCATATGCGAATCCTAGCTGCTCTTCTCCTATACCAGCTGACTATGTTTGCCTATTTTGGGGTGAAGAAATTCTACTATGCGTCTTTCCTGGTTCTGCTGATCATCTTGACCCTTATCTTTGCCTACGTGTGTAACAAGAAGTTCTATCGCTTCTTCCGCGACCCGGCACTGGAAGTCGCCTTGCACGAGCTGAAGGAGATGCCGCACATGGAGCGCATCTTCCGGACGTACGTCCCTCCCAGCTTGTGCTCTGAGAAGGTCGAAGACGACCAGTTCGAGGATGCTCTGTCTCAAGTTTCGAGGGCGGGGTCGTTCGCTTGATGTAAATATCAGTATATTTCCTTCCCACTGGAATGTTTTCTTTCTTGTGTCTATCAAAGCAGGCAAACTTGTAGGAAGTTACACTAGATTTGTTCAGCATGTGATAGGAAGTGTTTCTGTTTCTGTTTCACGTGTGTAGTTTTTAGTGTAATTTTGTGCATCTTTTGTGAAAGTGTTATTTGTTCAGGAAAATATAAGAGTGTGCTTTTTGGTCAAATCTTCTCTTTCTGCTTAATTACTTTAACTAATCACATTTAATCATGGGCGGTAAGTGTTCAAGTGGTAAACTCTTGATGTGGGGCTACAACGCAAAGAAGACGCTAGTAGAAATTACACCATATAGTTTAACTAAAATGACTTATGTTAACAACTAATTTCACAACACTAATTAAGGGGGAAAATAGAAAAAAAAAACAATTTAGCTAGATACTTAGAGAATTGACATCTCGGACATCACATGAAAACAGCCTACTCTATTTCTCAAAGATTTACATTTCTAATCATACTTAATGCTCCTTTTTTTTTTTGGTCGAAAATACTTAATGCTCCCTAACAGGTGCCCTTTTAACATGTTTTTCTAGTTTAGGAAAGGAGACTTGAGAGATGAAATGATGAGGGAGACACCGCAAATGTCATAATTTTCGTACAACACTCACTTTTTTGCCACAGCAATTTAAATCGATCATTTGAATGTGATAATTTTTTAAAAATGTTAAGCACCAATACCATAAATTTTAATGTCACTTTGTGTATGTTTTAGCCGTATTGATTGGGTGAGGAAACATAATCACCATAAACTATAAATAGTGTTTTTCAAAGACATCAAATGTTAAGTAGAATACCACATCGCTTAAATACATGCAATCTCCCTCCACCAAGTCATTTAGGTTACGTTTGGTCGTCCGGACATTTTTACGGGATAGGATACGATAGGATGTGATTTGAAATATCCTATGCAGTGTTTGATAATGTCTGGATATAACATGGATTCGGATAAGTATCATCAAGATGAGAGTTTGAAATACATGGATAGTCTCACTCGACTCATCTCTCTCGCTCGCTCCCTCTCTCTCTCTCATGTTAGTGATGAAGGAAAATGAGACTCCAAAGACCATCATCATCTTCATCCTCCAGCAATGGCGGGAGGTTAATGATTCTACATCTGATGTGCGCTGTTGCAGTTCTCTGTTTCCTTGTTTTGGTTGTTTAATCTTCCTTCTTTGTAAGTCGCCTTTTGGATCAATACTCTATAATCAGTACTTGAGTCATCCATAGCTGAACTAAAATCCTTTATCTCCCCTATGAAATTCTTCTTCGAAACAGAGTTAAACGGACTATCACCCAAAATTGAAAATCCAAGGAAAAAATATAAAACTACAGCTTTGTTACCTTAGGAAGTTGTTGACAACGTAGAACAGGGAACTAAACAGGGACGGATGTAGACTCGGAAAGTCCCAGCCAACAGAGCTAGATTCCGGTAAACAACCCCGTTTCGATGACTCATCACCACCAAATTAAATTGGGCCGTAAGGACGAACCCTCCTTGGTGAGCTCATCAATTTAACCCATCACCGCCATCCTTTTATTCAGATCGAAGCAAAAGTAGAGGATGATTGAAAATAAGAGTAGTGTTCATCGAAACTCTCGATGACACGCGTTGAAAATTTTCACAGATTAGAATGTGGCCTTCTGCCATGCAAAAATGAAACTAGAACTTGTTGGAGGAAGTCGACGCTTTGGATGGCTGCGTATGATAAAGCTAGAAGCAATGGTCTAAGGCAATGGCAATTGGGGTTAAAGGCGGCGATAGTGAGCCGATGGCAAGAGGAGAGATCGACTAAGAGGTGCAAATGTGGCGTGAACGCCGTCGCCGGTGAGCAGCGAAGCGAATCAATAGGGTTTTTCTCGTTTTCTCTATTTTTCTTCTTAATTTTTCCATATTAGATATCTTATCCCGCTTTATTCCACCCTTTATCCTGATCATATCCGGGCATATCCGAATTTAGTATTCTCCCAAACACCGAATAAGATATAAAACTATTTTATTTGAAGTTATATTCCGATCCACCAAACGCAATCTTAAGGTTTTAATGGGAATTTTCTAACATAGTATGAGAGCACTGACAAGAAGTTTAGATCTTGATTTTCCCTTTCAAACTCATTTACTACTTGTTGTGGATTCAACAAGTGACTTACATATCGTGCTCATCTCTTGACAGGCGACGCGACTTGTGCACGTGTAAGAGATCAGCTTACATGTGGTGGGGAATTTTAAATAGAACGTTAAATACATTGCTGTTGACACATAAGTTTTGGCTATATCATTTATTGTTCATTGCACTAGAAAATTAGGGGATCGTCCCCTGTTGCTACCCTCTTTTACTTGGTGAAGAGAATGGGTTTAGAGGTAATGGCGAGTTGGGACATACACTATTTCCTTTTTCTTTTACTTTGAGGAAGTAGTTCTCAAATTCACCTTGTCACGGAGTCAATTCCTCCAAACTTTTGGAATAACTCTTCTTTCAATAGACTAAGGGCGCGAATGATAACTATTATGTTCTTAGGAATAATTTCTGGTCAGAATTCATATTTCTATTCCCTTTATGAGTTTATGAGCAGAACGTAACATTTGATAACGACACACAATTTCTGCTCCCGAGACAGAAATTCTTTTGTATCCCAAAACTTCATGAGTAGATCCGCCACTCTCTCCCGTGTCTTTTGGCCATCTTCATCTTCAAAACTCAAATATCCCCTGAGGATCACCGAGCAAAAAATAGCTTTCCCAATTACCTATGACACGCTCCATGACAGCCTTAAAGAACTCAATTTTAATGGCTCTATTAGCAATTTCCTACTTATAATATGCCTTCCCGCTCCAATTTTCCTCTAGTTCAATTGGGTTCTGCACTGTCCTTCAACAGGATGAATTTCCCAATACCGATTAGGAAATAGTGTATGTCCATGATCATCATTAGGGGTGTCAATCAAACCCGCGCCGGCCCGGTCTGACCCTAAAATTTGGGGTATTTTGGATCGGGCCTTAATTTTATTCAAATATGGCCCTAAAATTTGGGGTTTCATTAGGGTTGGGATATTTTAGGGTCGGCCCATTGACACTCTGGGCCGACCCATCTCCCTCTCTCAGTCTCTCTTCCCTTCTCTCTCCCCTCTCTGGCGCTACGCCGCCGCTCCTCCCCCCTCGCCGTCCCCTGCCGCCGGTCCCCCGGCAAGCCCCTCCGCCTCTCCACCGCCGCCACCCGCGCCGCCATCTCCGTGGGCGACAGGCTCCCCGACGCCACCCTCTCCTACTTCGACCCCGCCGGCGAGCTCCAGACCACCACCGTCTCCGCCCTCACCGCCGGGAAGAAGTCGATCCTCTTCGCCGTCCCGGGGGCCTTCACCCCGACCTGCTCGCAGAAGCACCTGCCGGGGTTCGTGGAGAAGGCCGGGGAGCTGAAGGCCAAGGGCGTGGGCAACATCGCCTGCATCTCCGTGAACGACGCCTTCGTGATGCGGGCGTGGAAGGAGAACCTGGGCATCGGCGACGACGTCATGCTGCTGTCGGACGGGAACGGGGACTTCACGAGGGCGATCGGGTGCGAGCTCGACCTGAGCGACCAGCCGGTGGGGCTTGGGGTGCGGTCGCGGCGGTACGCGCTGCTCGCGGAGGACGGCGTCGTGAAGGTGCTCAACCTGCATTTTCCCCCGGGGGCCGCTTCTTCTCTGGTTTGTCGTGTCGCTCTGGCGTCAGATCTCGCCCCCGCCCCTGTTCATTTTGGCGAGGGTTCTGTGGGTCCGTGCCTGCCCGTTAGGAACTGGAACTGGAACTGGAGCTGGGGTTTGTCCGTTTCGTTTTGGTTGTCCTTGAAGCGCGTGAATTCGAGCTGTGTGTGGGGGAGATGGTGGGTGTTGAATGGGTCGTTGGGTGGTGCCTGTTGCTGGGATTGCAATTGGGGTCTCCCCGTTTGATGGGTTTTTTTTTCTTTTTTTTTTTAAAGAGGCTTGCCGTTCTGTTTCTGTGTCGGTGCAGATTGAAAGGAAGCGGATCAACATGCCGTGGATGTTCAGGAACTCCGTTCGCATGGTTGCCTTCTTCTTTATCCTATAGTTTCGTTGAGTTGGTAAGTCCTTTTGCTCTCTGAGTCCCCGCAATATGTTTTCGGTTTTGCTTTGTAAATTTGTCCTCGTTCACGAGAAGTTGACGGCGTTGAATGGGAGGGGTGAGAAAGCGTGGGGATTCTTGAGGGGAACTTCGTACTACGATTGATGGTGTTCTGGCTGTGAAATTTTAAGTTGCTGAAGGTGTTCAGTTTATGTATGCTTTTACCTCGCACCAAGAGTGATAAGGTAGTCATTTTAGCGATGACGAGGTTGAAAAAATTAGTAACAACTGTCGAGAGTTTTGAGTTTGGTCTTGTTAAATTCTTTCTCAACTACATGTTGGCGTCGTGGACAAGAGAATGGCTGTATTCTGCTTAGCTTCCTGGTTTTCACTTTGCAGGTAGTTTTTCACAGTTCAGCAACACATTCATCTGGTTTGGCCGTTTGGATTTCGTGGGAGAATTGAGAATGTACATTGCAGTTACCATTAAGAGAAATCGAGCAATGAAGGAAGTTGGCAAAATTAAAATGGTTTTCACTTTGCAGGTAGTTTTTCACAGTTCAGCAACACATTCATCTGGTTTGGCCGTTTGGATTTCGTGGGAGAATTGTCTTCTGCCTTTTGATGTTACTATCTGCACGAAAAAAAAAAAAAAAAAATGAAGCCCGGCCCGACCCGACCCGACCCGGCCCGGCCCGGGCCTTGGGGTGTACGGTGAACAGGGTCTGGCCTTGGGGTGTACGGTGAACAGGGTCTTGGGTGGGTCTAGGCGGGTCAAGCATGACCCTGTAGGTTTCGGATCGGGTTGGGTATCAAGAAAGCCCGATCCGACCCGACCCATTGACATCCCTAATCATCATTGTGCTGGTAACAATATGCCACTGCACAGCTTTGGACCAAATCCTAAGCAGTTCTAATGCATGTTCTACCGATGGACGAAGTCATCCGATCGGGCATGCATCTCCTCTGTCGGTTTCGACCGCGTCTGCAAATCCTGCTTCCGCGAATGAAATACTGATTTCTGTTACGGTTGCATCAAGTCTTAAGACTTAACCATCCTACACCTTCCAGTGAAGATAAAGGCTTTAAAATAGAGAATTCTAATAAAGAAC